CCCTTTGGAGTGCTAATTCTTCCACAGCAGCCAATCTTACACCCTTCAGTACCTTACCCTTCAAGCGGTCCATGGTGCGGACGCGATGGTCATCCGCATGTGGGCGTGATGTGGCAAGTTAATCGGGCCCTGAAGATGCTGCGGGTCTTCTGCTTGCTTTTTCTTATTGTACCTGTAGCGACTCGGGTGTGGCTTTGCCACAGCTTTGCGGTCACGATGAAGCGGAGGATCCGTTTCGATTTGATGTATGTGTGCAGAAGGCAGACTGGTTCTTGTCTACATCTCCTTGAACCCCATCGGGCACAGCATTAGCTCGAAGAGTCCCCATCGACACGCACTTCTTGCTTGAGTTGAACTTGAACAAAGCTTTAGCCGGTGTTAAGTTGGGAAGCATGCCAAGGGAGAGAAGCCATGGCGTGGGTTTTCGCTTGTGCCCTAAAAGCTGTGCCATCATGATCCACGGACCACGAAGCGCAGACTGCACAGCACACACATGGCAAAGGTTGAAATCTCACTGGTGATTTGGTGGATAGGTCAGAAGATGTGAGCCCCTCAACCAACATGTAGGGGCGTGTCTCAAAACTCTGGTACTTGATGAAGCGACCGACCCCTCGATTCACGAGCTTCCCTCGTCCCATGTTATTACCTAGTGGTATTGCGTACCTTAGATAACAAGGTCAAAGTTGTACAACTGGTAATGCACCATTCACAAGAAGGCTTTGTGATTATCACGGATGAATTGTGGTTTCCTATCAATTTGAGACCCAATTGCTATTCCATTAAGGTCAAAGTCGCTGTCATCTCGGAAGGAGTCCAGGTTGATGAGTTGACAGCACCAAAGTCCTTCGGAACCATTCACCCCTCCTGGTCTCGTAATCATTTGTCCGACTCTCTCTATCAGCAAATGAATTGAAAGGTCGGCTGTCGACGAGTTCGAGGATCGGCCTTCTTCTCTCGCACGGCGACCTGAAATGTTAAGCCCCCCTTCTCGAACCTCGATGCCATTGACTGCACGAGCCGCAGAGCCGTGCGACTCAACCAGCTTGATCAAACTTGAAATAACTGAAATCTGGAGGTGGTGGGCGCCATGTGCTGCGACTCAGGGTAATAAATTTTACTACTAGCTCAATGGGCCACCCAACCACGGTGTCTTCATCCTAGGGCCATCACATTTTTGACACTATTATGGGCAATCGAGTCTTACAACCCCATACCACAAGTGCAAGTACATTCCCGGAAAACATGCTCTCTTCCTCGCGGACATTCCAATCACCTATCCTTTCAACTTCGCTTGAGGGGGCCATGGCAACTCATCAAGGTTGAAATCACCCCCTCAGGCTTCGGAAGTCGGGGCTAAGCTGGCCGCACCGAGCCCTACAGCGCTGCGTCCTTGATCACCGGGCAAGGAATATTAACGCGAGCCAAACTTGCTTTTCGAAGGCGCCCAATGGTCGATCGTGATCAGCTCCACGGAGCAGTCCGTGGCAGCAACCACCTGAGTAAGGTACTTAGGTAGCGATTGGCAACGATTCAGTGATGAGCAATCCACGACTAATGGTTATTCCTAGCTGTCTGTAAGTCAGGATAGTTTACTTAATGCTCGGCAGTACAGAAATCTCAGCGCACTTGTGAAGCAAGCTCTGCAAACAACTCCACGATTCAGTGGTTTGGCGCCGCATGTATCAAACCCCCCTTTCAGTCAAGTGCAGTAATCCTTCTCAGAATGTCAACTAGACCTGTACACCGCAGAGAAATGTGCTCAGAGGCGCAGAAGGTTCAATTTAGGTCGCACCTGGGACTACCATCATGGCAGCATGGCTGGGGTGTCTACCTGCATGTGGGATTCAGGTTTCGGACAGAAACAGCAGATCCAACATCGCCCACCGTATGATGGTAGCACAAACCTGGTGGAGACTTCCTTCTACATGTTCGTCTCTGGTTCTTAGACACAATCAATCATTTTGCCACTTCAGGAGGGGAAATACCATCGCGACGAACCCCTAGTCTCCTCCGGATGACACGGGAATTGCCGCGAAAAGGTGTGTACAGTTGTTGAGTTGTCGCGGGCAGCGTTCTTCATACACCTCACATGACGACGCTCTTCCGTATCCCTCGAGGTCACCGAAGCTACGACCGTTACTTGCGATGACCTTTCCAGCACCTGAATGTTGCCCTGCGACACAAACACCAACGGGCAGGATACAGGGGTAAAGGGCCACTGTGACCTTGCTTCCCAGTCCCTCTAGAGGAAGTGTACTCCATGTTGACCGAGCTTGCAAGTTACAACTACTGGGGCCCGAGAAGTTGCCACCCAGTCGATTCACGGGTGAGCAAATCCGCCAGGAGTCCTGGGTCAAGCCATTCCGATTTGGCTCCAAGCTCGATCTTACAGCGAAGCCGTCCATGACTGCCTTACAAGGCTATTTCGATATCCAAGTCAAGGGAGAAGAGGAAGGGAGAATCGTTGACCGGAGGTATGAATTACTTGAGGCTGTGTTGCAACCCTAGGCATACCCTACACGAAGCTCAGTCTTGGCCAATGATCTATCTATCATACCTTGGGTGAATGCGAGGAAGAACGCCCGCCCCCGACTCGAGCCAAGTGTTCGGTGAGCGCCGATTTTAAAAACGAAGCCATTACTCGTGAAGCCAGTCCAGAGCATTGTCAGGTGCTACAGGCCTCAAGGGTCGCCCGGCATCTAGCTAAGCAAACTTCTACGGTCTTCTATAATATCAGACGCTCTATGCTCCAGGCATGAGTAGTAGGGCTTCGGGAACCTGTAGAGTCATTGTGCTGCATCAGGCCGGTGCTCCCCCTTGAACGTCCAGTCCACATGCATCTGAGGCATGAAGTGGCGAGCTCTGTCTCCTCGCCTTTTGCATCCCGATATCTGGGTGCGAATATGAGAACGATTCGAGGGGCTGCATGACAACAAAAGGAATCAAATGAGAGGTTGTAGGTAGGTACAACTGGCCAAGCGACAACCATCTGAATGGACGGTAAGATTTACCCCTATTCAGCGTGCCCGATATCCCCCGAGACAGAATGTGCGCAGTCCCCCACTTCTCGACATAGAATCCGTTTTTGAGCATTAAACCCAAGGCAATGAATGATAGGTCAAGTTCCTCGAGGTAAAATTAGCAAGCAAAGGCCCAAGGATACACATTTCGGAGACGAGATGATTCCCTCCCAATCATTGCCAAATGGTTTCCCAGGTCCAGGGAGGCAAGATGATTGCCATTATCAGAAGATAGGACTTCATTCGGAAGACTGTTCCCACAAGGATGATGAATCATGATGAGGATCTTTAAGACAAGAAGCAAATCACTGGCGATGTGCGTTGGCATATAGGTATGCGACAGAACCAAAGGTCCGTGGAAGTCGGATGCCGCAGAGACCAACATGTTACTTATATCAAACTCCTTTTACTGCGCTGTGTAGACTTACCCTGGTGAACAGCGCGCTTTTCAGCGTAAATTAGTTGATCATGATAGGTTTAATCTACTATCATGGATCCCTTCGCCTCCGGTGTTGTACCACAGCATCACTGTAGAAGACTGGAGTGGGATCAATACCGCGCCTGTGCCCTCTCGAATAGTGGCGGCCATTCATCCAGCCCCAGGTTAAAACTCATCATAGCGTAAGGTAAGGGGTCCCACTGGCGGCTGTGATCATTAATCCTTGCGAATATCAGATGTACCAGGTTGAAGGACAGCGCGTATAACAAATATCAGCAGTATTTAACGGGCGCTGAAAGTTTACAAACCCCAGAGCACAGCCAAATCCGCGGGTGCTCGCTATTTAAACACCATCAAATCAGCAGACGGTCTGGCATCTCTCAGTCGTGTTCTAGGCTGGGCTGTCTAGGTACTCGTTGTCCTTTACAATCTCTACACCACGATCCTTAGACGGTCGATTCGTTAATTCACATATAAACGGTTATGCATTTAAGCAAGAGTCCGAGCCCATCCCAACATTACCCAACTGGGTGGGCGTGAATGTCTTGCATGTGCAATAAACTTTAACACCGACAAACACTGACAGCCGGTGGGATCACGGACTTCACGGGCTGCTTTCTCCTCACCTCTCTGCCGGAATCCGGTCGAGCCGTGACGGTTCGGACGCGTCACCGAAGCTGGGGTCGAAAATGAAGACAGACTGATTGGTTTGTGTAACCATCATGAGAGTTTGGGGATTCTGATGGGATTGGAGGCCCGAATTTCCATGTGAGTGCCACGGCCTTTCATTGGGCAGAGGACCGTCTGATGAACCTGGTCACACCATCTCGACACTAATAGCCTCTTGAATCAACGGTAAAAATGTGGGCGCAGCCAAACCGGTTTGTGGCCAGACCGGGCCGATGAGCGTGGGCAGGGCCCAGGGGACCGTCCTATCTCAAATCAAAACCTTGCAAACTCAGAGCAGTCGGAGGTTGGATTTCTGATTGAAGGAAGAATGTCGGCAATTCAATCAGCGTTGAAGATCATTGTCCGATAATCGTAGCCCTGCAGCTGAACTAGGCTGCCTCGACCTGTAATACATGACTGGTGACCGTCCACTTTGCCGCCAGCATTCGTTGCCTATTGAGCTTTGAGCATAGACAGTGCATGTTGAAGACGAGTTTTTGTCCGTTCTACGTACGTCTCCCATAACTTCTACGTTGTTTCGTTTTGGTGGCTTTATTGACAAATCCCATGTGTACAGACAAGACAGGATTACTACGAGGTGAGACCTGTGCACACGGGGCACAAAAGACGAGCAACAAAAATTTCGGATTTCAAGAGTAACGACTACGTACGAAGAGAAAACGACACCCTACACTACGACCGACAATATTCTAGCCATAGACACAAGTGTCCATCACGAAAGACCAAGTTTACTTGCAGGCTTGTCGTCGCCTCGCCGCCCCGTTACCAGAACATGCAGAGCCTCAGGCCAGACGATAATCGCACATCCTAAGCACTCTAGCATGACGAGCAACAAGTTTCTACGAACGAACTTATTTGACGGTTGAGCCGATGGGTCCGAAGCGGATGTTGGAGTACGTAACAGTGGCCTAGTTGGTGTCGGCGTCAGCTCTATACTTGCCGTTCACTTGGAAGAGAAACGAAGGGTCACTTACACTGGCAAGACTGTTCTCAACGTCAGCAGGGACACCGGAGGTGGTGGGGCAGTCTCCGCGGGCGGCGCCGGGCTGACCAGCCTTCTCGGGAGGGTAGACAGAGTCGAGCCAGAGCATGTTGGCGTAGTGATCATCCCAGAGGGACATCACGAGCACCCACTTGCCGCTGAGGGCCGAGTTGAGCTTGGAGAAGCCTCCGACCTCGGAGAAGCGGTCGCGGTCACCAAAGGCCTTGAATTGGGCGGTGCAGAACTCAGGGGTGACGGCGTTGCCGGACACGCCGCTGATGGTCGAGTTGGGCATGTTGATCTTGGCGCCGTTCTGGACGAAGTATTGCGCGACCTTGTTGTTGGAGAACTGGGTGACAACGCTGGGTATTCATGATCAGCTACTGAGTCATGGTCTCGCCTGTCAAAGGCTAGAGGAAGGACAACGCAGTAGAAGGATGACTTACGTGAACTTCTTGGAAGTATCGACCGTCTTGCCCTTGCCATAGAAGCCGGTGGCACCCATACGGTAGGGGTTGAAGTCACATCCGTTGGCATCGCAGTCGCCAGCGAAGCGGTCCGCGGAGTAGGTGCCGCCACAGCCGGACGTCTCGCAGACGTGATATGCGTTGTTCGTGCATGCGTGGGGTGTCACGGCGAAGGAGTGAGAGTTGGACTCTGTCGAAGGGTTAGCAAGAGAGCTCTAAGGGATGGATGGCAGATATGGCCGAGAAATTGCGTACCCCAGACGTCCATCTCGGCGCAGCAGGCACCGTAGGGACCGACGCCAGCGTTAGCATCGTTGGATGACGGAACCCAGCCCTCGATGTTGGCCTTGCCACCGACGAACTTGAGATCACGGGCGCACTGAGCGTCGCAGTATCCAGTGCCGTACTTGGCACCAGCCTTGTTGGTAGGGTACTTGGCCATACCACCATCCGCGTCCATCTATTGAAAAGTAAGTAGCTGACACGGAAGTCCTTCAATCATTATGATTATCCTCGAAGATTGTTGACTTACTTGCACAAAGTAGAGGGCACCATTCAGACCACAATCAACCTGGGATAGGTCGACGTCGAAGGCCAGCTCGTTACCTATTGGATGTTTAGTAACTGACACGAAAGCCTCTTCATTGGCCAGACTAACCTGTCAAAGTGAACATCTCATAGGCCGAGGCCGAGTTCATGAGATAATGACGAGAGCCAATGTTCTTGCCGTAGGCGTGTTGCGTGACGAACTTCAAGCTGAGAGCGTTGCCAGAGGTAGTGACACCGTAGGTGGCAGCGTAGTCAGCGCCCTCGAGAGAGCACTTGGAGGCGCAATCCGTCGCGGAACTGCAAGCACTGGTCCACTTGTTGCCGTCGTAGCAATTGGTGCCGGAGGCATCGTGAAGCCATCTCCAGTTGTGGTCGATAACAACCTCACCGTTGACGTTGGTGCAGCTGGAGGCGGTGCACTTCTGCCAGGTCAACTTCGGGTGGGTCTCAGTCTGTAAAGTACCTGCCTGCTGAGCAGACACGGCGCTGATTGCAGCGAGGAGAACGGAGAGTGAAAGCATCTTGAGATGAGATGTCAACAGCTGAGGATGTTCTGGCTGGTGAAGAAGATCATGAGTTCCACGACATCTTGCGTGATCCTGTCGGACTTCTTATAGCCCTTCCTGGGACTTCTTGGGAAGTAAACCTTGACGAATACTCTTTCATGGAGATCCAAGTTCCGTTCGCATTATTGACCAAGACCTCAGTACCAGGCAAGGGATCACCGGGAAGCGCACCGAACATCCCTTTCATCCCATGACCGATGGGATCTTCCATGCCTACTACGGAGGCATTCATCCGTTGAGCAGTAAACAGAATCGATCCGACTTAGGTAAACAGGCATCCAACGGTCCTCGACAGAATGCCAGGGGAAACTTTCAACTTGCCCCTGAAGGCTGCGGGAACCGGAGGTCCCCCCCATCGACCAGCAAAGCGTTCCATCAATCGCTCGATGCAATTTAAATTGCAATCAATCCTCATGTTAGTATAGGTGCGGGGGAGGAGAGGCGTGTCTTCGAGCCCAAGAACGCGGAGTGTACGGTACTAGACGGAATTGGGCCCCGGCATCGTATGACACACGAGCTCTAGGTGAGCTACTTTTTCTTCTTGAGTCGTGATTTGAATAGGTCATCTACTTTTCCTTCCAGTCCAGATGTCTTTTTCTAACGGACTCCGTTGAAGTTAACGTGATTGTTGCCGGTCCAACTACAAGTTCAATTTACGATATACTTATCTTCTCGTAGTTGCACCCAAGACCTCATGCTTGCCAAAGCCAACGATGCCAATACGGAATAAGCACTCGTTGCCAAGGCTCTTGGTAGGCTTATCTGTCTTGGGGCTTCTTCTGGCTAGGGATGGTCGCAGAGATGAGGTCTAGATCGTCTTGGGCCTACCGGCGTCTAGTAAGAATGCCTTGGGCAAACAACATGTCCGAGAAGGTGTTTCGGAAGAAGCCTTGCGGATGATACGTGGGTAAGGTGGGTGATGGGTGCTTGTCTTGAGAAGTCTGGCTGTAAGCAGCCCGGACCAAGAGTTCATACCTACTTCCTGAGCTCTTTTAGGAGATTATCTGCCCGCGCCCTTCAGAAGAAATACCACACTAGGGAGCTTATTCAAGCGTCACAGCGCGATCGATAAGATCTAGCAACAAGTCGATTGATGACTCTCTGCGATTCCCAAACTTCTTTCCTAATGATGATTCCGTCGCCAGCGCGCCGCCGCCGACTTTCATGTATCTCACCCAGTGAATTTGGGCTCGGCTCAACGGTGAAATCCCGGCTTTGATTTCCATAAGCAGCGGTGTTGATGTTGTCATGTGGGCTGAAGCACTTGCCATACTTGGACCGGGATGGGACCCTAGTCTGGGGTAATTCTCCTGAAAGGCCGGCATTTATATTAGCCCCAACAGGGGTCGGAGGCATGCATAAATCATTCCACCACACACGATCGAAATGAGCGACGAGCGAAGCGCTGCGGACCAGTCACGCGGCGGCAGTCGAGGAGGGGTAAACGGAATGTGATTATAGGATAAATGTCTTTGATCCAACCTCAATTACTTTCCCATGGGAACTCGATATTGCTTTTGCCCCGGTGGCTCAACCATGAGGTGAGAATGGGGTGTTGCTTGGATGTGACTTGCCAGTATCGGCCTGGTCGCTGGTTGATATACGGCAAACATTGTGTTTTCCAAAGTAAGCAGCACCCAAAGATGCATCTGATGTGACTTTTGGGAAAAGAAATCGGAATATCCCACCCCGTTGTCACATTTTATGACCTTGGCGAGTTTCATAGAAAATAATTGAAGCGACCGGTGGCATTTCTTTCTTTCTTTATCTTCACTCGATCAATGTCGAGGACGATGAGTTGATATTGAGCAACTGTGAGCCTAATGTCGAATTTCGAGCTCCATGAAGGGGACTGGTTTCTCAAGCTCTCCCACGCCATGCCTCTGCGTGTCTAGAACCTGTCTTGGATCGCATGGTAATTGCCTATAGATGCAGTCCTGAAGCATTTTATCATGCCCGTTTTTGAAGCAGAAGTATACAGTATGTGTATCAAGGGAGTCCCTTGCTTGTTGGGCTTCTTTCACTACTCGATTGCGCCAGAAAAGTCTTGAGTAGATATACAGAATATCAGAAACAGAGCGAGAGAACATCGCTACTGAGGGTATCTGTTTATGAACTTGTCTCATTTTCTTTGACTTGGCCATGTTGCGATTCAATCAGGTGATGTCGTGCTTTTGTTACTAACGCTTTTATTGCTAGCCGTATCCTGTCTTTAGGAGGCTTCGCTATTTCGGTTCACTAAAAAGAAGTCTCTCAGATTCTAGGAATATCAGAACAGACTTCTTACCAGGTGCAATGAAGGAAGGCACTTCTCATCGGGTCTCGAGAGAATCTCAATAAGCGATTTGAGGATCCTAGATGGCAGCAAGACTCTTTTAAGCTTGTCGATATCTAGATGCTATTGATAGTATACTCACCCAGCCCTGCGTTTCATTTATCAAACTAGCCACGGACCTTGTGTGACAAAATATTATGACGGTCAATACCTCTTTGATATTTGTCTATGTCAAGATGATTACTGTTATCCCCGTTGTTTTTACATGAAGTATTACGAGTCTTATTTGGCATTCCTTTAGCTTATTCTTTATGTATATTCTTTGGAGAATGTCTTTCACGTACTAAGGTACAGAACCATCCTGTCTGCTACCTTATTAGAAGAGTGAGATACAGTGCTCATATATCTTAGCGCAAGGATGACCTTCAGAATATTAGATGGGATGCACCTTCCTCTTTCCCTCCGGGTTCCCAGGATGAGAGTGGGGCATTCGGTGAGCTGCGCTAGTCCGTTCCAGGGTGGCAGAACTTGAACCGTGTGAAAACTATCGCTTAATTCATGACCCACTCGAAATCTCACGTGCATCTTCGCACAAACCCTGGCCATTCTTACTGTGCGAAAATGACTCCCCGCTTTTCTCAGTGTTCCCTCTGTTACCTAAGGTAGCTCACCGCCCTGGAGCGTCGACTCGGCGCAACACCAGAACCTCCGCACACCCACTTTGGACGCGCACACAGGACAGGCCGTCCCGAATCGCAGCCGGAGCTTCTCCGACAATCAGCCATTCCCACTCAGCACCGCCCATCGCATTAGGAGGGATAAGACCAAGGGGGCCATCGCCGGGCCCTGCTCTTCTCTTTTTTCGAAATGTCATCGTCGTTGGCCGACCAGGAACCTCAGCCAGAGGACCAGCAGCAGCCGGCGGATCATCAGCCCGACCCTCAATCCGATTCCCCTGCATCGCCAACTGCCTCTCAGCAAGCGACAGCTCACGCCTATGCCAGCAATGGACTTCAGGTCCTCCAAGCTGCTTCAGATGCTGCAGCTGCAGCGGCTATCCAAAATGTCCAGCATCATCTGAGTACCGTTGCAGCCGCTGCCGCCGCCGCCGATGAGCAGCAATTACAGCAACAACACCAACAACACCAACACGAGCCTCAGCCTGTTGAGGAACAACAGCAACAGCAACAAGAACAGCTGGCCATGGTCTCGGCTGTTGAGCAAGACCAAGACCAGCATCATCAGCAACACCAGCCGCCGCCGCCGCCGCCCCCTCCTCCACACACCCCGTCCCAAGCGCCTCCTCACCAACTTCCGCCGCAGGCTTCTCATGCCTCGACACTCACAGGCGCTCCGCCCGCATCTCCGCTGGCCACCGATGGCTCTCTCGGTGCCGTGTCACAGAGCGCCATGTCTGCCTTCCCTCACGCCTTCGCCCCGATGCCGCCAATGCCACGAGACCCGACAGTCAACCCGAAGCTGACCCGCTTGCGACGCGCCTGCGATATGTGCTCCCAACGCAAGGTCAAGTGCGACGAGTCCGGTCCGCCGTGTAGGCCATGCTCCGAACTCAATGTCGAATGCACCTTCAACCGAGAGCTGAAGAGACGAGGACCCCCGAACAAGCATGCCGAGGCTGCCAGGGCCGCTCGAAGGCAGAGAATCGAGCCTGGCATGAGTGGTTCGCCCACCACAGCCGCCTTCACCTCATATGGCGCTGCCGTTACACCCTCGCCTTCGCCGCACAACGCTGCGCAGGCTCTGGTTTCCATAGCAGAGGGGCCGGGTCGTTTGGATGCAGAGGCCATCGCGCCCTTGCCCATTCTCGAGCTCTTGATCGACGACTTCTTCACCTACATCCACCCGCTCGCCCCATTCCCCCACGAGCCGACATTCAGACACTCCTTTGCCAACAGAGAGGATAGAACGAATCCCGAGTTTCTCGGCTTGCTGTCCTCCATGATCGCCTCTCTAGTGTCATCCTTCCCCCGGTGTGCCAGACAGCACCTCAAGACCCAGCACAGCACCCACCTCTTTCCGAGGGCCATAGTCATGATTGAGAGATGTCGAGATATTGCCCTCGATACGCGGGGTCCTCGATGGGCCCTGAAACAGAAGACGTTGGATGATGCCGCCACCAGCTACTTTCTTGGGCTCGCGGCAGGCTACACTTTCCAAGTCCCTCGCTTCCGCTACTTCATGTCTGAGTGTCTGTCTCTCATTCGGGAGCTTGGCTTCCACCGGCCCAAGCATCCCAATGAGCTTCCCACCTTTGGCAACGATAATTGCTCGCCCGATCCCCTACCTTTCCACCACATAAAGGACCAGATCGGCAAGCGCATTTTTTGGTGTCTGCTGCTCGGCGTCAGGTACGTTCCCTATCTTCTATCATGCAGGTCACGTACATATCTACTCACACACACATCAAAGGTCCTTCTCACAACTAGGCGCCTCTCATGCCGACTTGGTCATCGCCCCGTCGACCCCTGGACTGCCATATCCTGCCCTGCCCGAGAACGTCGATGATCTTTACATCATGGCCAACGAAATCGTGTATCCTCCCGAAAGCTCTGTCACTCTGCTTACTGGTTTCCGCTTTGCCGTCGACATCTACACGACCATGAACGCCATTGTCAGCGTGGAACTCGTTTACGGCATGAGCACCCTTCCGTGGTCCGAT